TCACTCTGGCCCAGAGTGGCAGTTGGTGCTGAAGGGAGGGCCCCCCAACTGATGGCATATTCAGGAGACAAGAGGGAACTGTCCCCTGGCCGCCTCTCTCTTCACTCTGGCCCAGAGCAGCAGTTGGTGCTCGGGGGGAGGGTCCCCAACTGATGACATATGCAGGAGACAAGATGGAACTGTCCCCTGGCCCCTCTCTCTTCACTCTGGCCCAGAGCGGCAGTTGGTGCTGGGGAGAGGGGTCCCCAACTGATGACATATGCAGGAGACAAGATGGAACTGTCCCCTGGCCCCCTCTCTCTTCACTCTGGCCCAGAGTGGCAGTTGGTGCTGCGGGGGGGAGGGGTCCCCAACTGATGACATATGCAGGAGACAAGAGGGAACCACCAATCTTTGCTGCAGAATTTCCTTCTAGCTAAAAATGTCCTACAAACCCCTTCTGGGTGGTCTCAGATTCTATTGCATTAGTAAATCTCTAGTAATCTTTTGAGGGATTGTTGCTCTGAGATGCTTTCCTTGGGACGGGCAAGAGGTTATTTTCCGCGTCTTTTTGATATCAGTTTCCCAACATGCCTGCATTTCTTTACACTCAGGAGAGGAAGAACATGCCATCCAAAGTTGGCAAGCAAGCAGAACTGTCAGCTTCATTGCCCCTCAGGCTACGAGTGCTTTGCATTAAAAGTCTGGCTTTGAAATCTCTGTGTTTTCAGCATTAATACTGAATTAAGGTTTCCACCTCTCTTATTTCTTCTTGAGCAGCTTCTCAGCTTTAGTGTGGATATGACACCTGTCAAGCAGGTGCAAAAAGGGCTCCTCCTTTCTTGGAATAGCCAAACCTGCTCAATTTGCACAGTCCAGATGGTGGAGAGTGCCATTTGGAGAAGATTTACCAATAAATATGTAGAATAAAATCTGAAATGTCTCCCTATTCAGGATGAAAGAATTGAAGCAGGGGAGGGAGCTGAGTGCACAAAAAGAAAAGCCAGTTGGGTGGATTATGTCATCTCTGTGGTTTTCCAGTATTTTCTGAAAAGTCAGCCAGCTGATGACTTAACATGCATCTAAACCTGGGGGTTGGAATCCCTGGGGGGGGGGGGGGGGGTGGAGGGGGGAAGAAGCAAAATCAGTTAGAATCATAGAATCAATAGAATCAAAGAGTTGGAAGAGACCTCATGGGCCATCCAGTCCAACCCCCTGCCAAGAAGCAGGAATATTGCATTCAAAGCATCCCGACAGATGGCCATCCAGCCTCTGTTCAAAAGCTTCCAAAGAAGGAGCCTCCACCACACTCCGGGGCAGAGAGTTCCACTGCTGAACGGCTCTCACAGTCAGGAAGTTCTTCCTCATGTTCAGATGGAATCTCCTCTCTTGTAGTTTGAAGCCATTGTTCCGCGTCCTAGTCTCCAAGGAAGCAGAAAACAAGCTTGCTCCCTCCTCCCTGTGACTTCCTCTCACATATTTATACATGGCTATCATATCTCCTCTCAGCCTTCTCTTCTTCAGGCTAAACATGTCCAGCTCCTTAAGCCACTCTTCATAGGGCTTGTTCTCCAGACCCTTGATCATTTTAGTCGCCCTCCTCTGGACACATTCCAGCTTGTCAATATCTCTCTTGAATTGTGGTGCCCAGAATTGGACACACTATTCCAGGTGTGGTCTAACCAAAGCAGAATAGAGGGGTAGCATGACTTATTGATGCAGGCCAAAATCCCATTGGCTTTTTTTGCTGCCACATCACATTGTTGGCTCATGTTTAACTTGCTGTCCACAAGGACTCCAAGATCTTTTTCACATGTACTGGTCTCGAGCCAAGTGTCCCCATTCTGTATCTTTGCATTTCGTTTTTTCTGCCTAAGTGGAGTATCTTGCATTTGTCACTGTTGAACTTCATTTTGTTAGTTTTGGCCCATCTCTCTAATCTGTCAAGATCTTTTTGAATCCTGCTCCTGTCCTCTGGAGTATTGGCTATCCCTCCCAATTTGGTGTCGTCTGCAAACTTGATGATCATGCCTTCTAGCCCTTCATCCAAGTCATTAATAAAGATGTTGAAAAGGACCGGGCCCAGGACGGAACCCTGCGGCACTCCACTTGTCACTTCTTTCCAGGATGAGGGGGAAGCATTGGGGAGAATCACCCTCTGGGTTCGTTCATTTAACCAATATATTTCTGATAGTCTTAGAAATGCCTTTGGCAAAAAAGGCTGAAGATCTCTCTGTCTGTCCTTCTCATCCTTTTTGGAAATATTTTCTGTTGGTCACAGGGGTGCTGTGTGGGAAGTTTAGCTCTTTAATTTTGGTGGGGTTCAGAATGCTCTTTGATCATAGATGTACTATAAATCCCACCAACTACAACTCCCAAATGTCAAGTCTGTTTTCCCCAAACTCCATCAGGGTTCACATTTGGGCATATTGAGTATTTGTGCCAAGGCTCTCTTCCTTATGCTTACAAGATGAGCCTGTGATAATGGCAAGGGCGAAAGTAAAGCCCCCCTGAGGATCTAAGACAGGGGTCCTCAAACTTTTTAAACCGGGGGCCAGTTTACTGTCCCTCAGACCGATGGAGGGCCGAACTATAGTTTTCTTTTTAAAAAATCAATTAAAAAATCCCTATGCACATTGCACATATCTTATTTTGCTGTGTGGAAGGGCAAAATAAGAGGGGGTTCTTTCTAGCCCTCTTTAGGCAGTAATCCCAGGAGCAGAGAATGGGAAATCTTCCTATTTCTAGTCTGAACAAAATCTGGCTACCAGTATTTAAAAAACTCTAAAATTATAACTGTACATAAAGAACAACACTCAAACACAAGGGAACTCCAGACAAGAAACAATCAGGGCCACCTAATCACCTCTCAACAAAGGATTCTCCCTAAAAACTGTCAGGCTATGAAATGGCAATCAAGGTGGCCAATTGAAACATTCATACTTACCTCCAACAGACAAGAGTTCTTTCTCCCACCCAATTTTCCTGGCTAAAGGTTTTCCTCTGACATGAAGTCCAGTCGTGTCTGACTCTGGGGTGTGGTGCTCATCTGCGTTTCTAAGTCGAAGAGCCGGCGTTGTCCGTAGACACCTTCAAGGTCATGTGGCCGGCATGACTGCATGGAGCGCCGGGGCAGCCTCCCTTGGCTGGCTCACGCTGTCCATCGGGCCTGACGGATAGCCTGAGCCTGCCAAGGGAGGAGCAGACCCGTGCGTCCTACTCGTGAGTAAGCCATGCGGAGCAGCTGCCTTTGGCTGGCTCATGCTGTCCATCGGGCCTGATGGATAGCGTGAGCCAGCCAAAGGAGGGGCACTGTGTGGGGGGGGGCGCTCCTCCTCCGCGGGCCGGATCAGGGCCCTTGGCAGGCCGGAAGTGGCCCGTGGGCCGTAGTTTGGGGACCCCTGATCTTAGAGCTCGGGCTGGTTCATGGAGAGAGATCCGGTCATGAAGGTAGACAGGCCCCAAACCATTTAGGGCTTTGTAGGTGATGATCTGCACCTTGAATTGGGACCAGAAGACAAATGGCAGCCAGTGAAGCTCCATTAACAGGGGAGTTCACTCCTCCTCGAACCTCATCAGTATTCAAATTTGGGCATATCAGGTATTTGTGCCAAATTTGGTCCCGTGAATGAAAATACATCCTGCTTTTCAGATATTTACATGACGATTCATAACAGTAGTAAAATTACAGTTATGAAGTAGCAACAAAAATAATGTTATCATTGGGGGTCACCACAACATGAGGAACTGTATTAAGGGGTCACGGCATTAGGAAGGTTGAGAAACACTGATATACACTGTAGAATGAATGCAATTTGATACCACTTTAACTGCCATAACTCAAGGCTATGGGAGTTGTAGTTTGGTGAGGGACCAACACTCTTGGGCAGAAAAGGTGAAAGGATTTGTAAAAGCTACAACTTGCATGATTCTATAGCATTGAGCCACGGAAGTTAAAGCAGTGTCAAACTGCACCCAAGATACTAACTAGTCAATGGATTCAAATGATGGGAGAAGAAATTCCACCTAAACATTAGAAAGAATTTCCTGCTGGCAAGTGGAAAATACTGCTGCCTTGGAATCCAACGGAGTCTCCTTCTCTTGGGGTTTTTAAACAGAGTCTGGATGGCTCTCTGTCAGGAGGGCTTAGATAACAGAATACAAATGGACTAGATCAGCTGTTCTCAACCTGGGGGTCGCGACCCCCAGGGGGGCCGCCTGGCCATTTTGGAGGGGTTGCAAGGCCACCTCCGTTGGCCCCGCCGCAAGGGCGCGGGCCAGGCAAGGTCTCCATCGCACGAGGCCTGATCCCACGCAAAGCCCGCCTTGCCTGCCTCGCTCTCCTGCTGTTTGGTGGGGGGCGAGGCATCCTCCGTGCGGGCCTGGCCTGCGCAAAGCCCACCTCGCCTGCCTCGCTCTCCCGCCATCCTTCCAGTATTTTTTGTTGCTCGTGGGAGTTTTGTGTGCCAAGTTTGGTTCAATTCCATCATTGGTGGAGTTCAGAATGCTCTTTGATTGTAGGTGAACTATAAATACCAGCAACTACAACTCCCAAATGATAAAATCAACCTCTCCAACCCCGCCAGTACTCAAATTTGGGCGTATTGGGTATTTGTGCCAAATTTGGTCCAGTGAATGAAAATACATCCTGCAGATCAGATATTTACATTACGATTCATAACAGTAGCAAAATTCCAATTATGAAGTAGCAATGAAAATAAATTGATGGTTGGGGGTCACCACAACATGAGGAACTGTAATAAGGGATCATGGCATTAGGAAGGTTGAGAACCACTGGACTAGATAGTCCTTCGATTTTTTTCCAATTCAGTGAATCAACTCTGAAGTGCTGGGTCAATTGCAGAGTAGGATTCATACTTTGGGTAGCTGTTTTAAAGGTCGAAAATCTGGACACTTGACCCAATATCCATTACTGGGGAGAGGGACTTGGTTAAAGCCCCTGAATGCATTTTTATCGACTAAGACTGATACTTATTCCACCAATTCATGTTACTCTGTACCTGTCGGGAATAGCATCCCAGCTGAGGATGTAGCGTCTGCTGGTAAGGGATCCGTGCTCTTTGCTGATACAAGCTCTGTGTAAAAAAAAAGATATGAATCAGAATTTGACCTGGAGGTTTTAATCTTCTTTTAGGCCTGTTTACTAAGCCTCATTCAGTTATCTGTAGCAGAGCGACTTGGAGAATGAACTCTATTTGGAGCTGCCCTTGAAGACGGCCTGGAAATTCCAACTGGTACAGTGGGTGGCAGCCAGGCTCCTAACTGGAGCAAATTATAAGGACCATACAACGCCCCTATTAAAACAACTGCATTGGCTGCCAATAAGTTGCCAAGCCAAATTCAAGGTGCAGGTGATGACCTATAAAGTCCTACATGGTTCAGGCCCCACCTATCTTCGTGATCGCATCTCCCTCTACGAACCAGCGCGAATTCTAAGATCTCCGTCTACGAACCCACGCAACCTCTTCGATCTTCCGGAGAGGCCCTTCTCCCACTCCCGCCCGCATCACAAGTGTGACTTGTGGGGACGAGAGAGAGGGCCTTCTCTGTAGTGGCCCCCTGACTCTGGAACTCAATCCCCAGAGATATTAGACAAGCCCCCTCGCTGGCAATCTTCAGGAGGAACCTGAAAACCTGGTTATTCCAACGTGCCTTCAATGATTGAATGTAGGACACTCCCCGACCAAAATGTCTCCAGAAGCACTTTATTCTATGGCTCGTGCAATTAAATCCTTCCTCATCCAGGTTCCCCTTCACAACAATTTTACATTGCCTATCTCCCAGTGTTTTTAAAATATTTTAAATTTTTATTCTTGAAGTGGCCCTGCCCAGTGGAATTCCTTGTGCTCGATGTTTTGATTTTATATTGCTCTGTTGTCAATTATATTGCATTTTATGTTTTAGTGTAATACTGTGTTTATTGTTTTGATGGGCATGGCCTCATGTAAGCCGCCTCAAGTCCCCATGGGGGAGATGGAGCGGAGTATAAATATTTGTTATATTATTATTATTATTATTATTATTATTATTATTATTATTATTACTGGGGAGGCCCTCCTCTCGCTCCCACCACCATCAGTAGTGCAGTTGGTGGGGACGAGGGAGGGGGTCTTCTCAGTTGTGGCCCTCCACCTCTGGGATGCCCTCCCCAGGGAAATAAGACAGCCCCATCCCTCTCCTCTTTTCGTAAAACCTTGAAGACTTCGTGGTTTCACCAGGACTTCGAGAATGATTAGCATGAGCTCCTGCCCCCTGGCCAATAGTTAGAATCTGGCCCTTCACCCCTACCTATTACCCTGGTCAGTTCCTCAATGGGTTCAGGAAATAAGCATCTACAGCCCTCATTGCTACCGCTGTTGAGTTTGGTTACTGCATTTTACCCATTTCCTTGGTTCCCTACTTTGCACTACCTCTGGCCCGACCATCCCAAACTGCCTAGGTCCTTTCTGAAGTCCAGCCCTAATAGCTAATCCTGACATGAAGAATAAGGTTGATTGGTTTGTACATGTGTTGTATGGTTCTGTTTTGTTCTGGTTGGTTTTTTTTTTAATGCTTACTCTGTATGGTTTTGTTTTTTTACCATTTGGAAACCGCCCTGAGTCCCCCAGGGGAGATAGAGCGGTATAATAATAATAATAATAATAATAATAATAATAATAATAACAATTTATTTGTACCCCGCTACCATCTCCCCAAGGGACTCGGTGCGGCTTACATGAGGCCGAGCCCAAATACAACAATACAGACAATAAACAACAATACAAGCAATTAAATAAAAACATAAGCAATAAAATATACAACATTATCACTAAGACAACAGACAATTAAAAACAGTAGGGAGGCCAAATGTAAAGTTAAAATTGGAAATAATGTTGGGACCTGGACGAAAGGAGATAGGGTGTTTGTGAAGGGCGTACTAGCAGACCTAAAGAAATGTAAAGTGCTTTGGAGGACAAAGTGCTATGAGATTATTATTCCGGGAAGGCACACTGGAACAGCCACATCTTCAAACTCCTCCTGAAGACTGCCAGAGTTGGAGCCTGTCTGATGTCTTTAGGGAGTGCGTTCCAGAGTCGAGGGGCCACCACCGAAAAGGCCCTCTCTCTCATCCCCACCAATCGCGCCTGCGATGCTGGTGGGATCGAGAGCAGGGCCTCTCCGGATGATCAAAGGGATCGTGTGGGTTCATATATATGGAGATGCGGTCATGCAGGTAGGCGGGTCCCAAACCGTTCAAGGCTTTGTAGGTAAGAACCTGCACCTTGAATTGGTAGATGAGTGGCAGCCAGTATATAAATAAAGTTCTATTTTTTAATAACTGCAGTTTCTAGAAATAAATCAAAATATATTTTCCCTTTTTAAAGAGTAAATGAAATAAATACATTTTTTTACAAGGGGCCTTCCTGAGTTTTGGTTTCATTGGACCATAGATCATCATGGTCCTTATCTAAAATGGGTATGTGGGCATGCACACATATCATCATCATTCAATAATATCTTGTGCAACCATTCAGTTTCCCCCATTTGAGGTGAGTCCTACCACCAAACCCCACAAATCCAGAGGTCCCACAGTGCTTGGAGAGAAAGAAAATTGCCTTAAATCTAATTTGTCATCTTGACTGCAGTCATATTTTCCTATGGGTTAATTTATCGTTCAATAATTTGTTGATTAGATATACTTTAATTGAACGCAATCGTTATGATTCCAGTCTGCATCAGAAAGCTTCATGTTCTGCTGCATGTATAAGTAATTCTTCCGTCATGCAATATGTTTTACCATAAAGTGACTATATCTCATAACTTTGAAAATAACTAAAATTTTCAGTTATTCCACAAAAGATGTGAAGTAATGCCTCATCAAGAATTCATGTACACTGAAAAATTAATCCTAGAGGTCTAGACAGCAAAAATAAGACAGTAGGGCTGGACATATCACAAGAATACATGACTTACTAGAAAAGACAATAATGCCCAAGAAGGTAACATGCAGTACAAAAAGAGAGAGGCCATCTTCTAGATCAGTGGTTCCCTACCTGTGGGCCATGGCCCACTGGTAGGCCGTGAGACCTAAAATAAGATCCGCGGCTCTATATCATTAAATATGGTTTCTGTGGGTGACTACTGGATGGCATATGTTTTGTATCAGAAACTAGAGCTGATGTGGTCTATGCAATGCAATTTTCTGAATCTGCACCCCAAATAACCAAACCAAATCTAAAGTTGACCGAAAAGTGATTCATAACTCTTTTGGGTACTAATGTTGGAGAGTGGTCCCTGGTCAAAGTGGTCCCTGGTCAAAAAAAGGTTGGGAACCACTATTGTAAATGAATATATTCAGGATGCATCACTATAAAACTAATGCAGTTTGACCCCTTTTAAATGCCATAGCTGAATGCTAAGGAATCCTAGGAGTTGCCATTTTATCTCTAGCATCCTTTGCCAAAGAGTGCTGGTGCCTGATGAAATACAAATCCCAAGATTCCACAGCATTGAGCAAAAGCAGTTAAAATGGAGTCAAACTGCATTAATTTTCCTGTGTAAATGACATATACCATATATTCCAGCATATAAGATGACTGGGCGTATAAGACAACCCCCAACTTTTCCAGTTAAAATATAGAGTTTGGGATATATTAGCCATATAAGACTACCCCTCTTCCAACACACACCAATTTTTTTAAAAGCATCAGATTTGATTTCAATATAGTAATTTTCCTATTACTGTACCTCCTTCTCTGCCTTTCAGATATCGCACATGTGCACCTGCACCGCTTCACTGCAGTCTTCAGGAGTGAGATCTGAGAGGCAGAGGAGGAGGTCAGACAGGTAAAAGAGGTGTGTTTATCTGGGCCCAGAGCCACTCTATCTCTTTTTTCCATACCCCGGGTGTCCCAGACGCCTGCAGCTTGCTCCGCTCTTCACATACACCATCCTGGTGAGGTGCCCCTTCACGTCACCATCGGGACCGCATTAAGTCCACGAATCCTGATGAATGGATTTTCTTCTACCGTACTTGTGCAGCGTTGCCCTTAATGCTTTCATACAGTCACTGCATATGGCAGGGACACGGCCATTGCCATTTTTGAGCTCCCCCCCCCCCACCATATGCGGCAACCACAGATTCTCCAATCCGATTGGATTTTTCAGCACCCGCTCTATAAGACTACTTCCATGTATAAGACTAATTCCGTGCATAAGACTACTCCAGCGTATAAGACTACCCCAGCATATAAGATTACTCCTGTGTATAAGACTACTCCGGTGTATAAGACTACCCCCATGAAGAAGACTACTCCCATGTATAAGACTACTCCCGTGTATAAGACAACCCCACATATAAGACGACCCCTGACTTTTGAGAATATTTTCTTGGGTTAAAAAGTAGTCTTATACACCAGAATATACGGTATTTTTGTAATGTAATGTAGTTATTTATTATTTATTTTATTTACATTATTTATACCTCTCCCTTCTCACCCTGAAGGGGACTCAGAGCGACTTTACAGAACACACATATGACAAAAATTCAATGCCAATTTTACAATTAACAAGGACAGACAACACAAACAAAGATAGTTTTTCCCATCTTATTTCTGGCATCTTGGAGGCTGTGCTCAACTTCAGCCACCAGGGGCAGGAGGGTGCTGTTGCTCCATCTTCCATGCTAAGGAGCTTTTCCTCCAATCAATTTCCTTAAGGGCACCTTTATTACCTCCCTGCTAAAAGCGGTACCTATTTTATCTACTCGCATTTCTGCTTTCGACCTGCTAGGTGGGCAGGTGAGCTGTGCCTAACAACAGGTGCTCACCCAACCCGGGCTCCAACTGCTGGCCTTCCGATCTGCAGGATTTTTCTGCAGCCTGCTGTGCTAAGCCCGTCCCCTACCTTAGTTAGGTCTTTCTTAACTAAAGAAGTAGAGAACTGTTCCATCTAGGTCTCCCAATATGACTTTATAGTCAGTGTTTGGCAGAAGTCACACTTGAGAACCTAGAGGCAACATATTAATCAATTCCACAAAAGTTAAGCTTGCAAATGTGGAGGGCTGACCATACTGTCAAGTTTTGGACAGATCTTGCCCGATATTCATTAAAGCAAGAAATGTTATATTGGTGGACATAAAAGTGCCTTTCAATTAGCTAAAAAAATTAAATTTAAGCAGATGTGCACATAACCAAAACCTCAAATTGGAAGTAAATGTAAAAAAAGAAGCCATAACAACAAAACCATGCATACAGCAAAATCGCTAATAAACCAACTCTTCAAAACGCAGAGAGTTTATTACTTCCAGGTTCTGGTTCAGAAGACACTGAGTGGAAAATAAGACAGCACAGCTTCATGGCCAGAAGGTATTCGCAGTAAGAAAAAAAAATATTTTGGACTGTGGCAGAGCAACGCAGAATCCTAAAAAGGAGAAGAGTGGATCCTTAATTTGCCATTCTGTCCTTTAAAATGATTAATTATCCAAGTCAGCCTTTAATTGCTTTACAAATTGAATGCACCCATGATTGGAACTATTACTATTGCTAGCATTGTGTGCTTTCCAGTTGTTTCAGACTTACGGTAATGTGATAGAAAACTTTTCTTGGCAAAATTCACTCAATGGGAGTTCACCATGGCCTTTTTCTGAGGCTGAGAGAGTATGATCTGCCCAAATTCACCCAATGGGGGCCCGGACTGGGTATGGATTTGACTCTTGGACTCCAGATGCTAGCCCAAGGTTCAAACACTACACAATTCTAGTTCTAGTAAAAGTAGTGATACCTATATACTACAGTAGAGTCTCACTCATCCAACAGAAACAGAACGTTGAATAAGCAAAAATGTTGGATAATAAGGAGGGATTAAGGAAAAGCCTGTTAAATGTCAAATTATGTTATGATTTTACAAATTAAGCACCAAAACATCATGTTTTGCAACAAATTGACAGAAAAAAACAGTTTAATACACTGTAACGTTACTGTATTTACAAATTTAGCACCAAAACATAGCAATGTATTGAAACATCTGTATTTCTGGGTGGGAGGCAGACTGCATTGGATAATACAGAACGTTGGATGAGCAAAGGTTGGATAAGCACCGGGATTGTGGCGCAGCCGGCTGAGTATCAGCTGCATTAAGATCACTCTGAAAAAAAGGTCATGAGTTCGAAGCCAGCCCGGGTTGGAGTGGGTTTCCAACCAATTGTGTGTAGCCTGTTGTCAACCTTTGCAACCTGAAAGAGAGTTGCATCTGTCAAGTAGGAAAATTAGGTACCACCTTAAAGTGTGGGGATGCTAAATTAATTGATTTATGAGGCCATAAAGAAGACTCCAGCAAAAGCATTCCAGCAGGGAAGCATGCGGGGAATGCGGAAGTGCTTCATCAGCGTCGCAGATGGACGATGAAAGCGACAGCTCCCCTGGCGGCCAGAAAAAGTTAAATAGCCTCTGTGTATGTCTCTATATGTTTGTATGTCAAAAATTGGCATTGAATGTTTGCCATATATGTGTACACTGTAATCCAGCCTGAGTCCCCTGCGGGGTGAAAAGGGCGGAATATAAAAGCTGTAAATAAATAATAAATAAACAAATAAATAAGTGAGACTGTACTGTTGTTGGTATCAAAAAATAGCCAAGAGAGATCATTTTAACTTTTCATACATCAGGATTTTTTTTCCTTTTCTTTTAATATGAAGTTGTGAGGCATGTTGTACTGTATGGAGTGAACTGCATTGGCCGTGTACAGATCCCACAAAAATGCAATAAGTTTTAGGATTAAGACTAAATTTAGCACTGTATTTAATATCCATGTTAGTGATAGGGTTAAAAAGAAACCTTTTGTATTCCCTGAATCCACCACTGTTTCCAACATCCCATCCCAAATGAATCAATTTGCTGAAACCCGAAATATGTTATTTCTGCTCCCCAGCATCATGCTTCAGCGCAGAACATTGGTTCTGATAAAAGGCACTCCAGCGGCAAAACTAAAAAAAGCAATAGATTGGTTGGGACAGTTTTTCCCCTAGCCATTTTTTCCCCTGTAAGAAAAACTGTCGGTGACAAATGACAGAAATCTGGGGATAGTGTTTACTGCTCTTCGAGTGGCAATGTCGTAGAACAAACTCACACTCTGGAGGTCTGTAATGACTTATCCTCATGCAGGAGAGTTGAATTGGATATGGAATATAACTTTACAAGGTGAAGTAGGAAGAAGACAAGGAAAAAGTGGCAAACAAAGTCTGAAATCCCGCATCATTGTTGCCTAGCATAAATCTCAATTGGTACATCAACAGAATTTTGGCCATGATAGATTATAGAATCATAGAATCACAGAATCATAGAGTTGGAAGAGACCTCATGGGCCATCCAGTCCAACCCCCTGCCAAGAAGCAGGAATATTGCATTCAAATCACCCCTGACAGATGGCCATCGAGCCTCTGTTTAAAAGCTTCCAAAGAAGGAGCCTCCACCACACTCCGGGGCAGAGAGTTCCACTGCTGAACGGCTCTCACAGGCAGTAGGGGGGGGGGGGGGCTTGAGGGGCTTCAGCCCCCCCCCCCCCAAATTCTCATGGTGGTCCGCGAGAAGGCCTTACTGGTACATTATTTAAACTGTTATGTTTATTCATATCATGATCTGATCACCATGCTCAATATATCCCATATGCATGGGGGTATTAGGGTAACGATACAAAAGGTTTGCTAGGGTAGACCCTCTTTCACTCAGACTCAGCCCCACCCCCCCCCCCCACTGCCAAACAGCTCTCACAGTCAGGAAGTTCTTCCTCATGTTCAGATGGAATCTCCTTTCTTGTAGTTTGAAGCCATTGTTCCACATCCTAGTCTCCAAGGAAGCAGAAACCAAGCTTGCTCCCTCCTCCCTGTGGCTTCCTCTCACATATTTATACATGGCTATCATATCTCCTCTCAGCCTTCTCTTCTTCAGGCTAAACATGCCCAGCTCTTTAAGCCTCTCCTCATAGGGCTTGTTCTCCAGACCCTTGATCATTTTAGTCGCCCTCCTCTGGACACATTCCAGCTTGTCAATATCTCTCTTCAATGGTGGTGCCCAGAATTGGACACAATATTCCAGGTGTGGTCTAACCAAAGCAGAATAGAGGGGTAGCATTACTTCCCTAGATCTAGACACTATGCTCCTATTGATGCAGACCAAAATCCCATTGGCTTTTTTTGCCACCACATCTCATTGTTGGCTCATGTTTAACTTGCTGTCCACAAGGACTCCAAGATCTTTTTCACATGTACTGCTCTCGAGCCAAGCGTCCCCTATTCTGTATCTTTGCATTTCATTTTTTCTGCCTAAGTGGAGTATCTTGCATTTGTCACTGTTGAACTTCATTTTGTTAGTTTTGGCCCATCTCTCTAATCCAGGGGTCCACAAACTTTTTAAACAGAGGGCCAGGTCACAGTCCCTCAAACTGTTGGAGGGCCGGATTATAATTTGAAAAACACGTGAATGAATTCCTATGCTTTCAAGTAGTTTCAGACTTAGGTTGAACCTGAGCGAGAGCCGGGTAAATGACCTTGGAGGGCCCTATCCGGCCCCCGGGCCTTAGTTTGAGGACCTCTGTTCTAATCTGTCAAGATTACCAAGGCAGGTCCTCTTTCTCCATCCCACCACCCTTCTTTCTCCACTGTCCCTCACTTCATATCACTTCATGTCACTTCATATCTCCCTGGTGTGTACTCAAAACAACATTACCTGATATTGAGGGAAATTGGAATGGTTTGGAAAAAGCGGAGGCGGAGGGTAGTTCAGGCTGAGCCACATGGTCTGCTTTAGCGAGGTGGTGGTCGAAGTGGTGGCAAACCGTGGGGTGAACACATTGCCACTATACTTAATGTTGTTCTTATCAAAGGCTCCTGATGGTCCTGAGAAAAATACAAGGCATTATTACCCACACAATGCAAGAGTTTGAGTAGGGTTTCTTGTTCCATTTGTTTATCCTAGCTTTTCCCTAAAGAGTTGAACGTTAGGCCTGGGTAACAACGGAAAAATTTGTTTCTAAACTCGTTTCGTTTTTAGGGGTCCATCGTGTTTTGTTTTTTAAAAGAATTCAGAAATTTTCCTTTTAAAAATTTTGAAATTTACCGAATTTCATATAATTACGAATCGATTCGTTAATGGCGGACGCGATTGCGCAATATGGTAAAAAAAACTCCAAATGGGACAAGGGGAACTTCTGAAGCTTCCCTCTCCCTCTGTTGTTGACTGTTGGTGTGATAAAACAAACAACAACTATAAAACTTGCACCAGACATGCCAAAATAATTACAAAATAATTACGAAACAATTACGAAACAATTACGAAATAATTACAAAATAAATTGAAAAAATTGTTTCGAATCTAATTTACTCCTCACACTATTCCTGCATGGCTCAATATTGGATCGTAAGCTAATTTAAATATGAATTAATAACTAATTACGAAATTAACGAACGAAACCGCCCAAGCCTACTGAACGTAGCTTTCTTCCTGCCATTGATGCAGATAACTTTGGCTGGCACAACAACTTTCTCATAGAAGTTAGAATGGGTAACATTCAAGGTTTTAGGACTGAATAAAGACTGGAACCCCAAGTCTTCCTGATCTAAGTCCAACCCTTTAACTCAGTGGTTCCCAACCTGTGATCTGTGGACCACCAGTGGTCCGCAAGAATGAAAATATAGTCCACAGCCTCACTATTACTACACCTTTGCCTTGAAACCATGCAGCAACAAAATTGACTGGTCTCGCAAAATCCTCTTATAGCGCCGAGACAACAGGGATGTTGGAAGGGGGGAGGCTGACTATCCATGAAAGATTACTGCTACTACATCAGCTCTAGATTAATAAATACGGTTTTCTGTGGACGAGCAGATGGCAACTACTGGATGGCATATGTTCTGTATCAGAAAATAGAACTGATGTAGTTTATCCAATGCAAGCATCCCAAATAATCAATCCAAATCTAAAGTTGACCAAAAACTGATTCATAACCCTTCTGGTACTAATGTTGGAGAGTGGTCCCTGTTCAAAGTGGTCCCTGGTCAAAAAAAGGTTAAGAACCACTGCTCTAACCAAAAGGCTTGGTTGATCCAGTTCATTAATTTCTTATCTCGTTATTAAATCGTTAATTAAATACCTTTAGAAGTGATATCGACACGTTTTAGCAACCCGGAAGTGTTTTTGCCATATCGAAGCCGCGTCCGCCATCTTTAAAACAACTTCCGTCAGTTTCGGAAGTGATGTCACAGGTGCTGGGATGCTGGGAATGCTGGGGTTCCAGCCAATGAGGAGAAGCCAGGTATTGGGGTGTGGTTTCTGCAGGGCAGCCATTGCCCTTTAAAAGGGGCCGCATGTGCCTCGTGGTTCCATTGTGAGCCGCGAAAGGGACGGGGAAGGAGGGTCTGCTGCTGCTCTTCAAGGTGCAGGGTGCAGGGTGCAGGGAGGTGCCTGCTTGCCTGCCTGCCTGTGGCTGCCACAGGGAAAGACAGAGACCAGAGGGTTGTGAAGAGAAGCCCTGGTTGTTTCTCTGTCTGGGGGTCTTTTTCTTAAAAGGAGAATTTTTTGTCTTTTTTTTTTTGGCCGCATTTATTATTTTTTTATTTGTATTTTATTTTTATTTTATTATTTATTTATTTACTTATTTACTTTGCTTCTATACCGCTGTTCTCAGCCCAAGGGCGACTCACAGCGGTGTACAACATGGGAAGAACAAAATACAAAACACAGTATAAAAACAATTCTCGAACCATTATGCAAAAAACATTATACAAAAAGCATTATACAAAACATTGTCATTACTACGAAACCATTCAGCGTCGTCTCATCGTCCAAACCACAATCCAATATCATTTTCCGTTATTCCATTCCTATAGTCATTACCAATCATTGCACTTCTTGTTCGAACGCCTTCTTGAACAACCAGGTTTTTAATTTTCTGCGGAATATCAACAGGGAAGGAGCCTGTCTGATGTCCACGGGAAGAGTGTTCCACAGCTGAGGGACCACCACCGAGAAGGCCCTATCTCTCGTCCCCGCCAGCCGTGCTTGTGAAGCAGGCGGGATCGAGAGCAGGGCCTCCCCGGAAGATCTCAAAGTCCTGGTGGGCTCGTAGGTCGAGATGCGGTCGGATAGGTATCTTGGGCCGGAACCGTTTAAGGCTTTATAGGCCAACGCCAGCACCTTGAATTGAGCCCGGTAGCAAATCGGCAGCCAGTGGAGCTGGTACAACAAGGGGGTTGTGTGCTCCCTGCGTCCCGCTCCTGTAAGTAACATGGCTGCCGCACGTTGGGCTAATTGAAGTTTCCGGGCCGTCTTTTATTTCTTTTATTTTATTTAATGTATTTTATTTTATAAATTAATTAATTTTTATTTTATTTAATATATTTTAATGTATTTTAATGTATTTCATTTTATTTAATGTGTTTTATTTTATAAATTAATTAATTTTATTAATTTTTATTTATTTATTTACTTACTTAATGTATTTTAATTTCACCCTAAATTTATTTTAATTTGGTTTGGGTTAGTTGTTGTTAGTTTTATCACCAACAGTCAACTACAAAGGGAAAGGGAAGCTTCAGAAGTTCCCCCTGTCCCATTTGGAGGTTTTTTTTCATGCGTTGCGCAATTGCGTCCGCCATTAACGAATCGATTCGTATGTTTACGAAATTTCGTAAATATTGAAATTTTGAAATCGGAAATTTCGGAAATCCTGTCAGATTAGAAACACTGGCGCCCCCTATATACGAAACGAGTTTAGAACCAAATTTTTTCTTGATCAACCAAGCCTACTAACCATATCTGGTACTGTTTCCCTCTTATATCCATGCATGTGAAATTTCCAGAGTCCTATTGGTGACATATCCACTCAGGTGTAAATCCAATATACATTTACATATGCAGGCAGCATGGAGAGTAGAATTCAGCTCTGCCATCTACATGCCAAACCAGCACCTTGACCATACCTCCACTAGTGCCTTGGTAGCATTTGTTGGCAGCAACCAATGGGACTCAACCAGAGCATGTTTGACTGTGCTCCAGGAACCAATTACAGGACAAAGTCAACATCCTAAACACTCTTGGGGTCCTCCAAGGATCTAGAAGGAAAATGTCATCCCTATGCACAATCTGCTTATGCACAGTTGGCAGATCCCTATCTACCTTCTAGCGTCCCACTTCTGAAAGACCTTTATGCTTTGCCAGCATGATCTGGGGCCTTGGTGTATATATTGAAATCTGCTGAAGGAAGGAAATGTAGGTGGTAGGGACTTCCAGAACAAAGGAATGATGTCCAAGCTTATCTGCAAATCCAATGTAACAGGATAAAAAGAGACCAATCATTCTAGGCTATATGATAGAGGGTTGGGAAAAGGAGAATTCCACCAATAGATATTTCGCTATTGGATGGCATCCTGGTAGTTTGTTTGTGTGTTTGTTTGTTTGTCATGCCAGGAGCAACTTGAGAAACTGCAAGTCGCTTCTGGTGTGAGAGAACTGGCCGTCTGCAAGGATGTTGCCCAGGGGACACCTGGATGTTTTTTGATGTCCTGATGTTTTACTATCCTTGTGGAAGGCTTCTCTCCCCGCATGACGAGCTGGAGCTGATAGAGGGAGCTCATCTGCGCTTTCCCCGGATTTGAACCTTTGACCTGTTGGTCTTCAGTCTTGCCGGTACAGAAGTTTAACCCACTGCACCATTAGTGGCTCATCGTGGTGTGACATATACATATTTAAGTTCTACTATGAATGTGATTACACTTTCTTTATCCATGGCATGATGTCTGCATTCAGTTGATGGGCGCAGAAGCAGAGTGAAACCAATATCACCAATTAGCCCACAACCCTTACCATGACTTAGGCAGAGACCATCAGCAACCAGTTCATGCTCATTTTTTGAACAGATCTTGGCAAATACGGGGAGTTGCTTTTTTGGCCCAGATCCCTGACTTTCCACCATTGTCATGATGGATGGTGGTCTCATGATGTTGTCCTTGTGAGGTGCAGATCCAAAGGCATTATTCTGAAGGATATCTTTGGCTGACTTGGTTTCTTCAGTCAACCCCTTGTTGTCCATGCTTTTGACAGTCTCAACACGTTTCAAAGGGAACTGGGCTAAGAGTTTGGCAATCTGAGTGTTGGAACTCACGGGGTTACTGTTTCCACTTTCTGTACTTTTGGTATTCTTGTAGATCAGTTTCGCAGGGAGCAAGATGCCTGTGACGGTGGAGTTGGTAGAGAGTTGAGCATCACAGATAGATCTCAGTTTCACCTCTCTTTTGCTTCCAGTGAGTGCTCTGTAGACATTTTCCATCGCATCCCTATCTTCTAATGCCTGGTCTTCATCAGAAGCTATGGCGAGGTTATTATTTGAAGCATTGCATGGAGCAGCTGAGGGCACCTTCTCCTCATCAGATCTTTGTGCCTCCAGGTCAGTTGCATTCTCCTGGGTGAGGCTTAAATATTCTTGCTCAACCAGCAGAGATATTTCATCTTTACAAATGCTGCTTTCCAAAGATCTGCATGAAAGAGAGGGAGAAAAAGAGAGACCATTTGTATAGGCAAAAAGGACTCATCCAACCTCTACCATTTTGAAATCTCTACTATAGATGAGTCTCCAGATTCATTATAATGACTGCATATACTTGTGTATAGGTCAACCTCAAGTATAAGTCGAGGGCAGGTTTGGGGGCCAAAATCATGCCTTTTGATGGAACCTGTGGATAAATCAGGGGTCATTCCCCAGAAAGGGGAAAGCAGTAATGCTGCCTCAGGGGCTATCCGGGCCTTTTCTGCTGCTGCCATTTTCCCATCCAGTCATTTAGAAAGGCCGCTTGTGGCACTATAGTGGAGAAAATAGAAAGGTTGGTGCTTCTTTCGGGTTCTCCTGAAATTAACTGAACTCATCATCCAACAAATGCTACGTTCAGCAAAGGACAAGAGGGATCCTCTCACCTCTGCAGGAGTCTACCGTATACCATGCAGCTGTGGACAAGTCTACATAGGGACCACCAAACGCAGCATTGCCCAAACACAAATCAAGGAACATGAAAGGTACTGCAGAATACTTCAGCCAGAGAAGTCAGCCATAACAGAGCACCTGATGAACCAGCCTGGGCACAGCATATTATTTGAGAACACAGAAATGCTGGACCACACCAACAACCACCATGTCAGACTACACAGAGAAGCCATTGAAATCCACAAGCATGTGGACAATTTCAACAGAAAGAAGAGACCATGAAAATGAACAAAATCTGGCTACCAGTATTAAAAAACTCTAAAATTACAACAGCAAAACAGCAGAGAGGAAACAACCAGGCACATCTTAACACCTCTCAACAAAAGATTTTCCCAGGCTCAGCCAGGCCTTCAAATGCTAATGAAGGTGGTCAGTTGAAACATTCACACCTAGCTCAAGCAGAGAAGAGCTCTTTGCCCCACCCCAGCCATTCCACAGATATATAAACCCATTTCCTAATTCCAACAGACCTCACTACCTCTGAGGATGCTTGCCATAGATGCAGGCGAAACGTCAAGAGAAATGCCTCTAGAACATGGCCCTATAGCCCGAAAAAACCCACAATAACCTAGTGATTTCAGCCATAAAAACCTTCGACAATACATTGAACTCTCATTTTTTGCCACTCTACTCAGCAGAGGGAATGGCTTCTTTTTTGTTAGGAAGACACAGTATTATTTATTTATTTATTTACTTACTTACTTTACTTTACTTGTATACCGCACTCAGCCCGTAGGCGACTCAGTGCGGTTTACAGCCAGGACAATATACAAGGTGCACAACATTAGCATTTAAAACAGTAACTAAATCAACTACGTCAATATCACAATACAACAGAACATCAATATAGCATCTATACATCTCTATATAACTAATCCATCACGTCTCAACGGTAAAATCATAATCCGATCTCGTCCATTATTCCAAGTTCCAAGATCAATCAGTTGGTTGCACTGCTTAATTAAACGCCTGTTCAAAGAGCCAGGTCTTTACTCTTCTCCTGAACGCCAGCAGGGAGGAGGCCGATCTAACGTCTGCGGGAAGGGCGTTCCACAGCCGAGGGGCCACCACTGAGAAGGCCCTGTCTCTCGTCCCCGCCAGCCGTGCTTGTGAGGCTGGCGGGATTGAGAGCAGGGCCTCCCCGGACGATCTTAATGTCCAGTACACACAGGGTTTTTTTCATCTCATTAGTGACTTCAGAAACTGTAAGTCATTTCTGGTTTGAGAGAATTGGCTGTCTGCAAGGACATTGCCCAGGTGATGCCCGGATGTTTGATGTTTTACCATCCTGTGGGAGGCTTCTCTCATGTCCCCACACGAGAAGCTAGTAATCGACAGACAGGAGCTTAGCCGCTCCTTGGATTCCAACTGCCAACCTGTTGGTCAGCAGTCCTGCTGTCACAAGGGTTTAACCGAAGGCTGAGAGGAGATATGATAGCCATGTATAAATATGTGAGAGGAAGCCACAGGGAGGAGGGAGCAAGCTTGTTTTCTGCTTCCCTGGAGACTAGGACGCAATGGGACAATGGCTTCAAACTACAAGAGAGGAGATTCCATCTGAACATTAGGAAGAACTTCCTGACTGTGAGAGCCGTTCAGCAGTGGAACTCTCTGCCCCGGAGTGTGGTGGAGGCTCCTTCTTTGGAGGCTTTTAAACAGAGGCTGGATGGCCATTTGTCAGGGGTGATTTGAATGCAATATTCCTGCTTCTTGGCAGGGGGTTGGACTGGATGGCCCATGAGGTCTCTTCCAACTCTTTGATTCTATGATTCTATGACTGCGCCGTGGAGCCCCTGGTGGTGCAGTGGGTTAAACCCCTGTGCCGGGAGGACTGAAGACCGACAGGTTGCAGGTGCGAATCCGGGGAGAGGCGGATGAGCTCCCTCTATCAGCTCCAGCTCCTTATGCAGAGACATGAGAGAAGCCTCCCACAAGGACGATAAAAATATCAAATCATCCGGGCATCCCCTGGGCAACGTCCTTGCAGACGGCCAATTCTCTCACACCAGAAGTGACTTGCAGATTCTCAAGTTGCTCCTGACACGATTAAAAAAAACCCACTGCGCCATCAGGGGCTCCAGTACTCACAGTGACCCACAAATAAATTGACCCAGATTTTTTTGGGTCAAATTTTGACTGAAATATCTAAATACTAGGGCTGGACGGTTTCGTTCGTTAATTTCGTAATTCGTTATTGATTCGTATTTAAATTAGCTTACGATCCGATATTGAGCCATGCAGGAGCAACTGAAAATCGAAACGAATTTTTCAATTTATTTCGTAATTTGTTCGTAATTGGTTCGAAATCGTTTCGAAATCGTTTCGAAATCGTTTCGAAATTGTTTTGTTATTATTTCCGTATGTCTGGTGCAAGCTTTATAGTTGTTGTTTGTTTTATCAGTGATAAAAAAATAAATTATCACACCAACAGTCGACAACAGAGGGAGAGGGAAACTTCAGAAGTTCCCCCTGTCCCATTTGGAGGTTTTTTTAGCATATTGCGCAATCGCGTCCGCCATTAACGAATCAATACAAAATTTACGAAATTTCGTAAATAACAAAAAATTTTAAAAGAAAAATTTGGAATTCTTTTAAAAAACGAAACGCAATAGACCCCCTAAAAGCGAAAAAAGTTCAGAAACAAATTTTTCCGTTGTTACCCAGGCCTACTAAATACCTTGAGTATGTGCAGTTTGTTGCATTATTTTCAGTATTATTCTTGTAATTCAATGATTTCTCCCAACTAGAGACCAACTGCATCGCTTGGGCACTTGATAAGTCTACACTTTTGTAAGTGTGATTGGCTCAACAAATCTACTTTGGTTGGGATAGACAGTTGGGTCTAGGCCACTAACGAAGCAGGAGCAACAACTTGCATTTTGCAACTACTCCTTCCAAATATTTGAGAAAATACTCTCACAAGGTATAATAATAATAATAATAATAATAATAATAATAACAATACTTTATTTATACCCCGCTACCATCTCCCCAGGGGACTCGGTGCGGCTTACATGAGACCAAGCCCAAATACAACAATACAAGCAATAATAACAACAATACAAGCAATTAAAATCAGACATAGACAATAAAACAATAACGTAAGCATTAACAATAAGACAACACACTATTAAAAACTATGGGAAGGTGAAATGTAAATTGAAATTAAAAATAATGCTGGACATGGGCGAGAAAAGTGATGGGGCGTTTGTGGAAAACATACAAGCAGACCTAAAACAATGTAAAGTGCTTTGGAGGACAAAGTGCTGTGGGATCATTATTCTGGGAAGGCACACTGGAACAACCATGTCTTCAAGCTCCTTTTGAAGACTGCCAGAGTTGGGGCCTGCCTGATGTCCTTAGGAAGTGAGTTCCAGAGTCGAGGGGCCACCATCGAAAAGTCCTTCTCTCTCGTCCCCACCAATCGTGCCTGCGATGCAGCTGGGAGCGTGAGCAGGGCCTCTCCAGGTGATGCATTTCCTTATCCGTTCTTCCACTCCTTTGCACTCACACTATAAAAAGACAGCCGAAGTCATGGCAATGGGAGCACTACTAGATCAGCAAGCCTATCCAAAACACTGTTGTTCTGAAATCTTTGTCTTGGCTACCCAATTCAAGGTGTTGGTATTCATATTAGAGTTGTGCACGGAATTCATTTCTCCCGTTTCCTTCATTTCTTTCATGTCTTTTGGTACTTTGGGAGCACAGAACAGGAAGGCCGCTCACAGTACGAAAATCAGGTCAACACAAAATCAGGCAGGAGTGGGCCCTGGTTCCTGGCCTGCTTTTTGGCATTGCAGAGTAAGAGGACTTGACTGCAGGCACTGGCAGGCACAGGCACTCCTGCACACTACATGCACTATCTATTTCCAAGGAGAGTGCGTGTATGGCATGAAGGAGTACCCGCACCTGTCAATGCCTGCAGTTGAGTGTCTCCTCTAGAGTAGAAACATCAGGTAAGAAGAATCCTCCTTAAAGTGTGTGCTAAGAGGGGGAACCTGGGTGGGAAGAATGGATCTTTCTGCACTGGAGAGCGAAAACAGATATCTGTGCTCCTGATTTCATGGGGCTTCCAAAAAATGGATTGGACCTCCCACCAAAAGCTGAAACACAAAGCAGTTCAAGGTTTACCCTGAATGCACAACCCGAATTAATATTAGTGCTAAATGGCTCAAGATTGCCTGATCCAGTGTAAACTGAATGGGATTTATGAGTTGTTCATGGTACAGTTTGGTGTGGTCTAATATAAAGCCTTTGTTAATTTAATACCAGAACATAATAACTCAGAAATATATCAATCTTCCCAAAATGTACCATGCATTCAGCTATTCACAAATTCCAGAAGGAGGAAGAGGAAGAGACAATGACTGTATTACTGTAAAACAGCGTTTCTCAATGTAGGGGTCGGGCCCCCTGGGGGTGTCATGAGGGGGTGTCAGAGGGGCCACCAAAGACAACCAGAGAATATTTATTTATTTATTATTTTGAACTTTTATA